GAAACAACATTTGCGAGACTTTGGTGGATATAACTAGATCTTCGGATTTTTTCTCACTGCTCCAATTCAGAAAGAAATCAGTTAATTCCTTATTCAGGCTCGCGCATGCTGCTAATGCCATATATTCGGTTTCCTGATTGTTTTTTTTAAAAGAAATAACGTACGGGTTATGAAGATAACTGTATACAAAGCAACTTCCCACCACTTGAGTAGTAAAGCTTACTTTTTCATTAATATCCACCCAGGGTCTCTGCTGACTCGCTATCTGCAATATATTGTTTCGGTATATGTTAATTTTCGTATCCCATTCTTTCAATATCCCGCAAATTGCAAGTTTGACCAATACGGATTGCATGGTTTCGATTTTATAATCAGGTATAAAATTTGGTACGGTTTGGTACAACCTGGGGTTGGAAGCGTCATGCTTTGTAGGCATGATCAATTGCAAGAGATGATGCCTAAATCGTTTCACATCGTTTTCGTATCTCGTGCAATTATTTGGATCCTCGTCGCTGAGTTCTGCGTACGATTGATTGCCCAAGGCTGCTTGATACTTTAGAGCTTCATTACGATACTTTTTTATTGCCGAACGGCATGACAATTCCATTTCGCGCACTTGTGCGTTTGCACTGTTTACTGCATTATCTGCCGTTATTTGTGCTTCGCGCAATTGGTTGTTGGCTATTTCCACATCTATAATGGCGCGCTTTTGTGTTTCGCGTAATTCTGTGTTGGCAGTTTCTACTTCCTTGTTTCTCTTCTGCAATTGGACTCGGAGACTATCGATTTCCGTACTTGCCTTCTTTTTTACGGCGAGCAATTCTTTTTTCAGTCTATTTATTTTCACCTCGTACTCTTTTTTTACATTTTCGAAACCCTCCTTTACGTTAGTCAGTTCATGTTCCAATTCTTGTTTACGCTTATTAAGTATTTGATTTTCGTCACGGAACTTTTTAAGCATCGCATACGCGAGAAATCTTTTCCTGAAACATCCCTTTTTTGATTCATACGAATTAATTCTCGTCGAAAGTTTTTTAATCTGACGACCTTGCTTGTCCATTTGAGATTTTGAAAGGCAATAAAAAAAGAAAGGAATTACATATTTTTCCCACTCCGGTCGAAGAACTTGACTGTTAAAATCTTTATTCGGGGTGCTGTGCGGCTGACCCATTATAACTACTTTCGCTGCAAATTGACATCAAAGCTAAATGGCTTCGACCGCATTAAGTAGTCGATCGACCGTATTTTGTGATTGGACATTCTCGATATGCTTTAGGGGTGTTTACGTGAGAAATGTCTCGGCAGGAAAACAAACGTCATTCATGACAAGATTTTGACGCAACAACACATGACACAAGGCTGAAGAAGTATTCACACGGAAAAGTCATTCTGATTTAAATACGGTTAGTGCATTATGCAACAGATCATAAACGTCAAAATAGACAGACATGTATTTATAATGGTAAGGACGAAAGAATTTATTCAGCATAAGCAATGATTAAGCGTTTCTCAGACGATAAAGACGTGCGCGTTGTAGTCGGTATCGGTAAGATGATTAATAAAATTCGCGTTGACTTTAAAAACTGTTTCATGGCTTTTTGTTCAATCGTACATTAAACTGTAGATTTTGGAACAACGTTTTCGGGATTTTCGTACGGTCATGTTGACCGGCCGAGAGAAGTTGAAGTCTATAATTTGTGGTCAGAAGACTATGGAAACAAGTCTACGATTTTTTATTATTATTTAAAATACTCGCATCAATTCTAGGCCTCATGGATCCATTAGTAAGTCCATCGGATGGAAAATCCCAACAGTATTGGCATATACCGAAGATTTGAAGGTTGCGCATATTGGCAATGAAGTCAGTATTGCGGAAGGCCCAATCGACAATTGCGATGAGGGAAGATATTATTTCGTAGATCGTTTCAAAATGAGCCTCTTTAACGTCGAAGATGCAGACAAGCCTAGCCTAGTTGGCGGAATTAAACCCAAGAAGGCTATCAAAGATTACCTCATTTATATGAAAAATGTACGGAAACTAGTATCTACAAATTGCTACCGTTCAGTATCAGATATATTTGGTTAATACTTTTATCTCGTTAGCACATTAAAGCCCATATCGATCGACGATGGCCAGGTGAGTAAGATTAAAGCAAAATTTAATATAATGACCAACCTCGCTGTGTTGACGAAACAGTGACACATTCGTTGAATTGGTTTGCAGACGTCGATTATCCGAAACAAGTTTATTTCGTGTTCACCCTCCCAATTGGGTGGAAACAGGAACAGAAAAATTTTATGCTTAGACGTGCTATAAAAGCGGGACTGTTCGACGCAGACTGTAAAGAGAACGTGGCTTTTATAGATGAGCGTAAGTTCAAATCGTTATGAATTCATACCCAACCTACGTATTCAATGTGACTTTATTTTTTAGCCGAGGCGGCTGCCATCGATTGTTTTCCGTTAATGGATAAACACGGCCTTAAAAGTGGGGGTAAGAATTCCGTAACGATTGGTTAAATGCGCGATGATTGGAATGATAATTCGTTCTGCGTATGTACTGCACAGAAAAATTCATGATAGTTGACTGCGGAGGTGGAACGGTCGATTTAACGACGCGGAAATTATTGGCGAACAAGAAAATAGATGAACATACAGAATCTTCGTTTAACAGATGGGGAGGCATTACAGTCGACAATGAGTTTGTCAAAGTTCTGGCCGACAAACTAGGGATTGAGCGTGAAAAAATGGAAGAGTTACGCAAAACATACTATGGCGAATTTATTGGGTTGATCGAAAACAGATTCGGTCCCATAAAATCCGAGTTTCTTGGTAAAGAGGAACTGTACACGGATCAAAAAGTGCAAATCACGGAAACCTACGAGTTCTTGAAGGAAGAAGTAAAAGATACAGATACACGAAAGGAATTGGAAGACAAGGGCTGGATACTCGTCTTTACGTACGCGGATGTTCACGCCATGTTTGAACCATCAATCAAAGGAATACTAAAGTCTATAAAGTATGCATAACTCGCTCGATGCTTTTAACACGTATCTGTCCAACAGGTAGTAACTTTACCTTTGTGATTACTCAGTAAACAACTGGAGGCTGCAGGATCATGTTCTGCTATTTTTCTGGTCGGCGGCTATAGGTAAGAGAGATGGGAGGCAGGCTGATTCATTTGATTTAATATGAAGAATCCGAAAGCAGCCAATTTGACCCATTCTATATCGTACAGTTCATCTCCACACCTTATACAACGTGTTAAAAATAAATTCAAAGGCCAAGTAGAAATAATTGATAGACCTTCTAACCCAGTCACAGCAGTCGTTAGAGGATCAGCTTTATACGGTAAAAAAGAAAGTTACACATTTGTTGGTAAATTCAAAGGAACGAATCTTTTCACCCAGCCATTATATATAATTTTTCGTTCAGGCCTTAGCATCGACCATGACGTCAACTCGGATGCTTACGGGGCAAGTAAGGTCATAGAGTCGCGCGTTCTCAGATACACTTACGGTACCGACATGGAAGTTCGTCGTGCCGACAGTAATCGTAAGGTTCTAAAGTTTTCAAGGTTGGCAAGACGGGGAGACTCTGTGAAACAAGACCAAAAGGTCCGCCAAATTTATTGCCCGTCTCATCCCCGTCAAACCAAGATGAGTTTAAGTATATACGCTTCAAAAGATTATAATCCAGAGTATATAGAAAGCGCGAGTGTCCGCAAGATACAAGATTGGACGATCGATTTGCCGGATAGATATTTAGGCAGAAACAGACCGGTGGAATTGTCTTTGGAGTTTGGCAACTTTGAAACGACAATTACCGCACGCAGCAAAGTCACGGGCGAACTATTGAAAACAATCGAAGATAGTGATTGGATGAACGAAACTTTGGATAGTTAACGGGATTTCATATTACAGGGGTCACCGTAGTATCATTCAATAAATAATACCTTTGTTGGTTTTTTTGGTAATCGAAATGTGGGGTAGGGTGGGTACTATTAATGTAAAAGGCCTTTTAAAACGAATTGATGAAAGAGTTGTGATGGTCCAACAAAATAGCGTGTTGAAACAAAGATAGGGACAAGTCATGATATCAGCAGGGCTTTTAAATTGGCTGCTCCGATCCGCTATTACTATAATCATTGATAACTTAAAAAATAGTTTTTGAAGATGATTTCACATGAAATTCATATCAACATGGATTTACTTATTACAAAAACGCCAGACTGAATTATGTCAAATTTATTGACCCATTTTAATAATTTTACCTTACCACTTTACCCACGCACAAACCACTAGTCACACACAAATTGTCCAAATTTGACATTTACGTTATTATTGTGTATTACAAATCAGATACGATTTAAATATTACAGATTATTATAATAATAATGAAACGATAAACACAGTCTCACCTTCCATTTGACTTTCGTTCTCCTTAAAAGTCGTTTCTTCCTTGATAAGATTAAAATAGTCTTAATGGTAATAGTAAACATGCAATCTACCCTTTTTATTTCTATGCACTATAAGAATGAGTTGTCCGAAAACGAAAAAAAAAAACTTTTTCCTGATATTTCTTTTGCGCGTAGCTTTGATCCAATTCTTTTAAACGTCTCGTGTCATCCATCGGGTATTACTGAAACCTCTATACTCGGTTTTTATCATGCGCTTGCTATTTTCGCCTTTTCCGTGGATATATTGCTAATCATTCTTGGATCATTGTCACGAGCGGGTAGGCTTGGCTCAGTTTTTTGCTTGGGAATTTACGCCTGGCCTACTTGTCAGCGCACAACGTTGCGTTGGTGCGTTGTCATTGAATTTCATTCTTTATTTTGTAATCATTGTTGATTAGCCAAGAACACACTGTTGAAATAAAAGATCACTTTGCCAAGTGTCATGCGTTTGCAAAATCGGGACAATAATAAGGTGAAGATCTTGGACCATATAAAGACCTAAGATAGCTACGGATAATAGCGTGCCAGAGGATATGCACAACAGAGTAGCCAAGCTGCACACTGCAATTCTCTTTGGCTGCTGTTCATCATCGTTCTGTGTGCTTTGATATTAGTTTAATTGGTGTTGTCTAGTCAAATTAAATATTTTCTCGGCTATAACTATAACCGCAAGATTGGAAGATCTTAAAGATACCGTTTTTTAACTTCATTTTACACTACTGTAAGCGCCTGTGCTAATCAGGTATTACTGCAGATTACCCAATTAGAAATTACACAATATTGGCAGTAGAAGTTCGTAGAACATTTGCTCATGGCTCTTCAGGGCAGTTAAGCACGTAAACGTAAGCAAGCTTTGAACTTTAATGACCAATTCCGACTTGTAGTGGATCGAATGACAGTAGTACAAAGGCCAACAGTACTCAATTTCTGGTTTTTTAATTTTCAAACATAAGTCTTAACAACAAATAGCATGCGCGATAGGCGAAAATAATCTACGATGTTTGGCTTTTTTTTTTCCTTGACATATCCAATATCAACGTATAGCTATTTGTTCATTGATTTTATCATTCGTAGTTAAACCTTTTAGTTGTTATAGATCGTGATCTGCTGGATGCAGAAGCCAAATCGGCAAACCATGCTTCAATTTTTTTTTAACATCTGAACCGCGCATTGCTAATAACCTATGATTTGGCGGATCGATTGCATAATCTCGCATTGGCACGCACGTTGAATGTGTATGGCATCACATCAGTTACCTAATATATGCATCAGCAAAGGGGGGAAGGAATTAAATTTATCTGGTATTGTCTTGGATTAACATGTGCTAATTTTAATCTGCACGGATCAATTTCGTTTTCTGCATATTAATATAGTTTCCTAGTCGATCGATTATGTTGATCATCATCTCCCTTTCTTTGATCCAATCCCCTCGAATGTGGGTTCAGAGGGGATATCGACTACCCTAAATTCTAGGGACTTTCAACACAAAAGACGAATTTAAACGTCGATTGTACAAGAATAAATTGGCTGGAGATTCACTGCATTCACATGCATCAATCAAAAAGCTAGTACTAGCGCCAACTTTATTGTGTGCCCAATCATCAACCGTTGCCGTCTTATAAGACCATTTCGAGAACGTTAGCATCGACTAATTAAATGATAATTTGCGATAATGTGAAAAACAAGGAACTGCCAATAACGTAAAAGTACGGCGGTTATTGAAAATTTTCTAACGGTACGTATAGTTGCTAAATTTGAATGCGTCTTATAAAAGATTAACAAAACTAATAAAAAATTGGAATTGCAATGAAATTTGTCGTATATGAATTCTGTCACTGGAAAAGTGCCGTACCACGATTTATACGATTTACAACACGACAAATATAACGAGTACCAAAATAATTGATCAACGTATCAAAGTCAAGCCAAAGATTAATGGGTAGTTTCAATCAGAATAAAACTTTACCTTAATTCAAAAACGAGAACTTTAGCTGCAATTAAAATGTAGCCCAAGACGTACAAGTGTTACGATTATAAAAATACGTTGTTCACAACATTAACCATGGCAATCTGAACTGCGTCCAGCGCGCGCAAGTTTGAATACAAAATGAGAGATTTCGACACGGACTTTGTATTCTAATTGATAAAAGGGTTTGTCAACAATACTAAAATAACTTTCTGCAATGGATGTTGTGTCCAATATTTTGTTAAGATTAATTAAATTTAATTTGTTTGCACTAAAAACGATGTAGAAAAATCGACCCCTGAAAAAATCTTTGGTGGCGTCATGTTCACCTTGTTTGTAAGCATATCCATACAAGTCTGGTGTGACAAGACTTGTACTCTCCTTCATAGAGAATAGTTTTTACACAGTGCATGTGAACAATACATCTTTGCTAATTTGCTGTCGTGTTATATTACTAGTATCCTAAATTGTTAGTTGTACACATTATTGACAATTCCTCCCTATATGCAATCTATTGTTATTTTAATTGCTTCGCTGATGTGCATCATCTCTATAATTAATACGGTATGTCATTAGTGATATTCTGTAATTTGTGAGATATCAGTATGGTTACATTTTCTAATGTAAAAGGTCTGTGGTTTTTCTTCGTTAATTTGTCCTGATGAGATTAATTACGATTAATTGCATCGCTTAATTTAGTTTTGTTCCAGATGACAATCGCTCGATGCGTGTGCATATTCTTTATTAGTCAAATGCAATCGATAACATTCTTTAGGCATAGCATGTAAATTACTCGATTGAGAGAATGTCTACATACCGGATGACCCTAACTGCAGCTAAACAATGCTTTCTTAATTACATGCACCTTTTTTTTTCATGAAACAAAGGATGTTGCACTTTCTATTCTTTTACTTACTATTGTTTCTCACTCTTCACTCTTTATCACTACTCACTCGTCCACTCGCTCGCACCCACCTCTTGCCTGTTTAGAGCCAATAAGATCCTGCAATGCCCTGCGCATAATAGTCATGTCTATTTAAGATTTGCGTACAGCATGCATGAAACGTCGGTCATTTCCCCGCATTTTATAGTACATATAAGCTATTGCTCAAGTCGAGTCTCCCTTTCTCTCTAGTTCTTTTTTCGTTGTTTCGCAGCAATCCAGGCCCATCCATCTGCATCAAACCACCATCTCCAAAGTCAATCAGATTACCAACTACGACCAAACAATCATTGCTTTTGTACTCACGGCTATCCCGTAAAGAGTTTGGTACTGCAGACAATAATGTAACTTATTTTTGCTACCTTTCCTTTTTTATCCACATATGTCGACGATCTCATTTCATCACATGTGCTTCAAGTTACCATATATCGACACGATCAGGTCCATGAACGTGTTACTTTGCATCATTTCACAACAGCTTTGGGGGGTGGGGATTGAAAAAATTACATATCGGTATGGAAAATAACTCGATCGGAGTTAAGCATATGTCCCGGAAAATAAACCCCCCATTTCCTTTCCGACCATTATTTATTTAAATCAGGTACTCTCGCGTCCCCATTCTCTCCGATGGAAATAATAGTAACCCAACCCTATACCCAATTTTGTATACAGTCCCTCATCCCCGAATATCCCGTAAATCATTTATTGCTTACACAAACGGTAACGTAACGCAACCCCCATGTTTAGATATTTCTTTTTGATTAGTGACATCATTATTCTAAATAAATGCAACGCTCGTAGACTGTTTCTCATCCATTTTTTTTCCTCGGCGAGTAAAAAAAAGCCTCTCTCAATAAACCTACTCTATAAATGATACATTCGCAAATTCAATTCCCCTCCCCATTTCCTCTCTTTATCGAATGTGAATTAATACATTTCACTAAAACAGGTAAACAATCGTAGAAAATCTTACAAAAATGCTGGGAATAAAAGGCTTTTCTCGACGACTCAAAAACAAAATATCAAAATTATTCAAACACCATGGCGAGAGGAATACAACCGAAGACACCATCCCCCACGCAAAGACTACACCGTCTTCAGGACGACATCCAACCATCACTTTCGAACCTTTCATCGAAAAAGGTCCTTTAATATCCGCATACGCAAATTACACACCCAAAGTCACATTCTCATACTTACCGGGACATACCTCATTTCAGACGGGATATTTCGGAGTAGAAGATACTGCAACCGTTTCCGGAATGCTTAATCTCCGCTTCCCCGACAATGACCCGTGTTTGGCCAAGAGCATTGTCGTATCCTTAATCGGAGAAGAACGCATACGATGGACCGAAAAGAACTCTGACGCCGAGACACCGACAAAATCAACTAGCCGCAGAAGATCCGAACTAACAAATAGACTGGCCTCTAACGTATTCTGTAATCAGAGCATATGCGTCTGGCAAACGTGTCTGGTAGGATACGAAGAGATATGTTCGTTAGATATCCCTTTCGCATTCAATCTCCCGACAGATCTACCCGGCTCACTGTACCTCGACGATGGAGTGGGCGTGATTTCTTATCGATTGCGAGCAACAATAACCCGAAAAAATCGACGAGCGCTCCACGTCAGTCGTATCAAAGAAGTCGCAGTTGGACTTTGGCTTACGAAATACGCCGAAGAACCTGCCGTGTTGGATGACGATAGAAGTGCACAGAGTTGGAGCGTTGCAGAACCAAATTCAGAGATACCAATACGATGGTCTTCTTGGAATGATGCCGCGGCTATCCAAAGAGGGCTCGGTTGGGAAATCACCCTGAACAAGACCTTGTTCGGTCCGGATAACCACATAATGGTCTCTGTCAAGCTATTGTTCATGGATCCGAGAGTAAAAGTTGAATCCATCTCCTTTGGTCTGCAAGAGATTATAACCTGTCACATAGATGACGAACAAATCGTCAACAAGTCTAAAAAGTACATTCGTCATGAACGTGTTCGTGGAGAAGACATTGCAATATTGCCTGGCCCTGACACGGAAGGGTTCGTGGTCTTTGTGACTCCAACCGATGGTGTTACCTTTGACGTGAACACTATGCATATAACTGTAAAGCACAAGGTAAAGATCAGAATTGATTTTAATCAATATGCCGCTATTGAAAAAAACATTGTCATTCGGAACTTTATATCAAAAAACGAAATTGCTCTACGATCTGCTGCGCAAGAGAGAGGGCAGAAAAGTATAAAGGTTGATGAATGGCGAATGTCGAGAACCTCGCAGAGCAAGCGGATGCAGGATAAAACATTCCGCGAAAGCAAACGTTATAGCACGAACGGGGCCGGCGTAGGTGGGAGCGGCGTTGTGAGGATGGTCGGTGGGAATACAACGTTCGCATTGGAGAATGAAAACTATGATGATTTGCGACGTCAAGAGATAGAAGATAGGCTAGTCGACATGCAAGATGAAATGCGGCATGATTACCTTGATGATCGGGAAAAAGAACTGGATAGTATCCAAGCGGAAGGATCAACAAGCGGTGGATATGGGTATGCCTTGAACAATGGTCACGTTAAACTGAATTCAGATGATGAGAATGCACGCCAACGGTACTATGAGAGTCGAGGATGGATATGATGAGAGAAAAAAAAAAAAAGACATTTTCGAACCATCTTTACCAAGACGTATAATGCGAGAGATATGACAGATATGCTTCAACAACGTACCGATCCAACACGACAGAATACGACGAGTATTCGCTCGGGGCGTCTCGCTTTGACGCATCTGCTTTTCCCTTCCGCCGCCGCAACATCGAAACACTTGCTTATTGGCATATCCATGTGTCATTCACGTCGGCATTCGTCTTGGTAAATCCACTCTCTCGGCTGTTTTTCGTACAATACGCGAAATGTACAGGAAGTGCAAGTAATCTGTAGCCGGAAACCAATCGCAGAATTTAATTCGAGTTGGATGGGGGTTGGGTGGGTATAAAAAAATAGAACTTTCGGATAGAGATAACCCGAGGAGCAGGAATCATTGTATGATTTACTGAAATCTCGGTGAAAATTTCTTTTAGATAAAACCTTTAGAAACAAACTTTTGTTATTCTTTTTTGTATGATATCTTTTTTTAGAGTTCATTTCTTTGTCCACAATGGAGGGAAAAAAGGTTGGTTGGAAGAGGAGGGACGGGAGAGAAGGAGGAGAGAGAAGAAAGGGACAATGAAATATATAGAATAGAGGACACTTGAGTATTGTGTATAATTATGTAGTTTTATTCGCTATAGACTGTTAACCGAGAAACCAATTGTAACCGAAACAAACCGGGCGTAGCCGTCTGAATTGATAACTTTGTCTCACCCGTCTGTATGAAGGTGAATAAACCACTGATTTCGTACATTTCGTGTTTTTTAAGACAAACAGAAGGAAACTTATATGTTGTCCCAAGGTTAAATTGTAGTCGTTAAACCAACTTTCGACTTGATTGAACACGAATGGTTAGTTATGAAGGCGAGGGCGAGTCTTAAAGCGTTAATATAAATTGTAGATGCTTCATTTAAAGCACAACTATCTGATGCATGTGGACAAACAATATATAAGCTTGCAATGAAACAAAAATTTTATATAGTAAAATACTTTAATTATACCTTTGAGTCACACAAGTCAGAAATGAAAACCAATGCTCTTTCCCCAGCCACCACAATTCGGAACACTTTCATTATTTGCCAAGATCTTACGACAAACGTATCAATAATTGAACATTCGATTACTCGGTTTGTTAACCACTATTTTTCTTGCGCGCGACGTTTACTCTATCTTGCAATAACCCTGCCCTGCACTTATACCGATTGCCTGTTTATGCCGTCCCTCAGCTTTTCTTGTGCGAGAATTCTTACACACAAAGTATCAATTCAGCTTGTAGCATGGTGGTTGTGCCAGTAATGATCATAAGGAAGAAGTCTGCGGGGAAAAGAATGAGCAAAAGTAGTGAACGCGACATAATTGAATGAACGAGAGATGATAATGATATGAGCATTGGATTGTGGAAAGGGAAAGGATAAGGTGAAGCGTAATAGTGACAAGATAAGAATTGCATCGCGCGTACAAAATATTACGTAATTATGTCGCTCACCTTATCTGTATCTTCCTGTGAATAGAATTGCTTTCCGTAGGCAGCTTGCAAACACCCTGCGTGAAATACAAAGTATCTTTTCAACCCTGTCCCAATTTATTTTGAACGTTTCCTCTGTGCCCTTTTCTCGCCTCAAATAACACTCTATGCATCTCCTTCTCGTCTCAAATGGTGCTACCCTCTATCGATTCCCATCTTACCCAATACTTCAAAATTCCTGATGAAATATGATCCGTGAGAAAGCCCAAATCCGTCAATGCATCAGTAAGATCAAGAAGAAGTCTCCCAGGATCAGTAGACGGAGAAGAAGTATAATTTGGATGAGTTATCGCCATGTATAGTGAGTTAGTTTCGGACAGTTCGCGTCGACTTTGTCATTGGATAGAGAGACAACGACCTTTGAGTTAGACAAGTAAATACACATATTGATGGTAGGATGATACGAACCAATGAACAAATACGTTGGAGTAAACCTACTGGCCATCACACGCAATGCCTATGTACGCCGGACTTAGTTCCTTTAATACGTCTTGAACATAATGCTGGTAAATTACATTTGTCAGTAATAACTAATGGGTAAATCACCGTGCATGATACACGACTATTCATACTCACTATTAATCCTTGAGCCTCTACTTTTGGAATCATAAGCTTGAAATCATCGACATATTTTATTCCAAGTCTCTGCATATCGGTCAGGTCCGGGTCGTTCGCTAGATCAGAAATAGATTTGTACCCTTTGTCTACAAATCTTTTCGCAGCTACTGGTCTTTCGATCAAGATTAGTTACAGATCCGAGAAAGAGAGCGAAAACACGTGGATGAGAGTATTTCAAAGAAATGGTGCAATGAATGACACGAGGAAAGTGTGCGTATAGATATAGGAAATGAGAAAGTTGATTCAATTAGCAAATAATGTCAAGATACGCGTAATCAAAACACCTCTGAGGAATGACGCATAAAAAGCGCACCCAACCCCAAATACTTGACTAAAAGTCTCGAATAATTCTGCATCTTCCTGTTTTTCCTTCAACGATTCACAAGTGCCCTTACATAGATAACATAAATCAATCCGTTTACCAAATACTTCGCTTCTCACCATGAGTGTCCTTAACGTCATTGATGTTATAATATTTTCAAAAAAAAAAGAGTACCACATACTGTTTTAAGAATCTCGTCAATTTTATTTGCTATGCTACTGCCAATTCCTTGTAATTTCTTGGCCTCAGCACCGGAGATTATTCTGGCCGGATAAGATGTTATTATGTATATAGCATTTTCGTACGCGCGTTGTTTAAAGGGGTCTCCCGATTTACGCTCTTTTTCAAGTAACGCTAATAAATAAAAGAATTTGTCGTAAGGCAAAACGCGCAAATTTTTGATTCGTAAATTAAAGTAAAAGAAAAACATTCCCGTTATTTTCCTCACAGTAAATCTTTCACGAGTAACTTGCTTTTACCCTCAGCATTTATATTACAATTCTAACCCACACCTCCTAATGCTTTCGTAATATCTTCGTTCAAATTAATATCTGACTTCCATAATTCGTCTGTTGGATCAAACTTGATTTTCTTTTGTTTTTTAGTATCTTTCTTTGGACCGGGGGTTATAAACTTTTCTCGCGCAACAGTGACTACAACAAAAGTTCGTTTTAATCGTATGTGTGAAGTTTGAGTGTGTGAGCGCATCAAATTAGTAGCTCCAAGCATCGAGCAATTAGACAATAAAGGGAGAGGTGATAGACAGTATAACATATTAGAAAGAAGAAAATTCAAGCGTTTATGGTGCATTGTAGAGATTGCGAGCAAGTTTCCAAGTGATGGGATCAACGGTGGCGCGAAAAAAAGTAATCACATGATTGCTTTGGTCTCTCAAGTGAAAATCATTACTGAAACGTCAATGATCGAATAACCCAGTACATATTTTCGTATTGTCTGCAGAGAAATTGAATCAAACGCAGATGGAAAAGTTTCCTTTAAACTGTTCCAAGCGTTATCGCAATGTTGTGTATATCGTTTAGCAGTGCCCCAATATTAATATTGCTTATACATTTGGGATAGAAAATAATTTATTGTGTACTCTTCATGTAACATGTGATTTCTTTAAGAAATGGGCCAGATTTAAAATCAGATTTACCAAAAACGATTAATTTGTACCATAATTGAAAGTCAGTACTGCATATCATTAACTCATACATGTTTAACCAAATTTGTTTCCCGCATCATATTACACACATGTAAATATGAGTTGTCCACATTCTACTACACATTAAAATTTTTATTTCTCAGATATCTTCTTCCTTACTGATTATAACAATTCGTCTGATTTAATACACCATTTTACCTGACGCTTTTCAACAAACGTTACCACTCGCACATACAAAATCAATTGCTGAATTTTGTCGCTTTGACACCTCCTAAATAATATCCGGTACTTGTCCATTTCTGCATGGAAACCTTCTCGCCGCCTTCAAAAAATGCCTCTTCACTTATGCGATGACCACTGCAATTAATTTCCTTACTTTCCTTGCGTGTATTATGGCCAACCTATACAGTATGTCCTGGAAAAAGCTGCCTGCGTTGCATAGGAAGAACTGTCAACATACGCTTTATTCCAATTACATTCTCTACGTCAATAGAAAACATCGCTCATATTCTAGTGCAACAAGCAAACTACCGACTTGTCATTGCTATTGATATGCCAACTGTTCGAAAATTGTACAGAATGCTACTTCCAAATTGAAAGCATGTTCCCAAAGTGGTCCAACAATTTTGTTTGCGAGCCTACTAAGCCCGAACAAAAGAAAAATGTTCATTTAGCATTGAACACTAAAATTAAGCTTTTAATTATCCTACCACACATACAATGTCAATCGTTCAAAAACAATCTCGGTCGTATACGTCAGCTATTCTGAAAACCGCACAAACCGCTTCCACAATATCGATTCAAGACATTGCCCAAAAATAGTCCAATAAATTGTTTGCAATTGATTAACACAAGATGTCTCAAGGATTTAAACACACGTCTTCTGAATCATGCAATTTCGGCGCTCGTATTAAGCTGAGGGCGCGATAGAGTTGTACAACAATATGATTTACTGCGAACTGCAGAATTCTACTTTCGTTAAACCCAAAAACACTTCACTGATAACCGACTAGAATAATACAGTCGTTTCTCACAATTCCGCCATGCTACTATCGTCCAAAACGTATTACAAAAATCTCTACCAACAATGAAACCACATCTCATTGATTCTACCACATTTACAGTTTCAACGAGAAGTAATCCTTGGAGAAAGAACACGCACGTCGAAGCAATTGAAACTATCACCAAGCAATAATAGCAATACATCCAGATCAGGCAAACAACTTTGCGAGATTTAGCTTAATTCGCGGAAAATAATTGTCTAATTATTATTGGGAAGCATTTGTCCAGTGCATATAATTTCCCTTCCAAACTCAATACATTTGTGTTTTTATTGCCCTCTCTTTTTTCTCAATAATCAATATCTTTTACCATACTATACTGTATTTACGAGTTGGGTTCTTAGCGTATATCACTCTAATAACAGCATCGTCTGATAATTGCTTTAATATGTATGCAGCTCTAATTGTATGCTTCTTTACTATTTGCGTTGTTGTTCGGAAATATCCTAACGTTAAACATTTTGCTTGCCAATGTCTAGTTAGATGTATAATTCAGTTTTGACGCATATAGTTATATGGTGATGACGCAAATTATATACAACGCGTATACAAGCAAGTGAATATTAATATTTAAGGTGAGTGATACTTAGGTATTACCCAGTAAGTATAGTAATAGATGAAACCAACCAATCAAAAGTAACCATTTTACATATGGTGGCCAGTGCGCCGATGGTCCAAAATTATAACAGATTGAAAATTTTACTTAGCGTAATTATCCGTAGAAAGTATTTGTACTAATTACAGAACTAGAAACTTGTTCTTCGCTACAGGTTCTGAACGACACACTGGAAGTTGAAACCGTCACGTAAGTATTTTCTGTGTCAAGCAGCAAACGCTCATGCAAAGCGTCGTTTGAGAGCGTTTTAACAGATTCTCGTTCAGTTTTTTGGGATAACTGAACGAAAACAAAACTCTGACGAGTGCAACTTTTTTAATTATTACCACTTTTGTTTATTACAGCAGCCGTTTTTGGGAGATGAGGGAAAGAAGATTCCCTAGGTAGTATATATGTATTAGTATTAGCAAAAGCGCCATTTCAAGGATTCTCGTTTATCTTTTTTGGGGGTAACTGAGTGAAAACAAAACTTTGAAGAGTTATATTCATGAGCAACTTTTAATTGCTATCACTTTGTTTATTACAGCAACCGTTTTTAAGAGATGAGCGCAAGAAGATTCCGTAAGTAATACATATATACGTATACAAGAGGGAAAGCGAAATCTGAGACTACTTTGTTAGCATGCCACTAACATTCCCTTATATATACTTTGGAATGCGGTTAATTACAGCTACAACTACAAAGAGTTTATGTAAGTACTAGCTATAGTTCTGAATTTCGTTCTCAATAACAGCTAGGGTTAGGGTTAGGGTTGCGGTATCTTGCAAGAGAGTTTCGATGGGTTTATTTACAAGGTGCATTTTGAAACTTACATATTCCTTTCGTAACATGTGACCAAAATATGAGCATTGGATTCTTGGTTGTTGTCTTAGTAATAATTGACGACGGAAATTGATTTCACGCGTTCGAAGAATCAAATCAGGCATCTATGCATATTCGAAACGTACTTAATATCTTGCGTCAATCTTTTGCACACACGTTGGCAACAGTTACTGTTAACAAGTATGTGAATTTCATGAGCATTGGATTCTTGGTTGTTGAGTTATTTGCGATCGACGACGAAAATTGATTTCGCGTCTTTGGAGAATCAAGCCAGGCGTCTATCCATATTCAAATCGTACTTAATATTTAACGTCAATTTTCTAGACACACGTTGGCAACAGTTACCATTAACAAGTATATGAATTTCATGAGCATTGGATTCTTGGTTGTTAGTTATTCGTGATTGACGACGGAAATTGATTTCGCGTCTTTGGAGAATCAAGCCAGGCGTCTATCCATATTCAAATCGTACTTAATATCCTGCGTCAATCTTTTGCACACACGTTGGCAACAGTTACTGTTCACAAGTATATGAATTTCATGAGCATTGGATTCTTGGTTGTCGAGTTATTCGTGATTGACGACGGCGTCTTTGGAGAATCAAGCGAATCGTTATAATATACATATACCATTACCATTACGTCCCAATTTCTCAGTACACTGTCACAGTACGAAATAATAATGAAAGAGTTTAGTCGGAGCGAATTTCTTCATGACTCTTCATGACTCTTCATGACTATAATGCAATTTGTTCTTGCAAGGTACTGCAATGAGAAGCTTACATGGTAATGTAACCTTGCATATTGTTGACAGCCTTGATTATATGTAAAAAATTCAACGACTAATTTTGGAAAATGTTGACTGGTCAATTATTTGGTGAAATGTCCAGTGACTGTACAATCGGAAAAAAGAGAAAACATTCTTGTATCGATTACAGATACGCCACATTCGGACAAAGACGAGTTGTTAATTCTTGCTTCGGGATTATCCTTTCGTTATTCAACACAGCATGTCGCGAACAACATCGTACGCAATGTAAGTAAGTAGGTAAGTAGGTAAGCCTTCTGACTAAACCTTGAAATTAGCATGATAAAAGGACTAGTTGAAGAACAAGGAAAAATATGCTGGAAAGAATCGTGAAGCTTATCTTAATCTTTGTTAACAGACGGATAAGAAATTTCCTGAAACATAACGACAATTAAAGAAAGCATCTATCTGTATGCCTCTATTTGATATTGTATAAAGATGCTAAAAGTCTTTGTCTAATAAACGGTTTGTCAATGGTGGTGACAGTTGAGAGGACGATAGAATGAACAGGACTGAATTGTGAATTATAACAATTGGGGAGGATGACCGATCACGGCATGTAACCGAAAAGTCAATGCAAATGGAGATTCTCTTAACTTTTTCCGACACGTAAGCCTACTAATCTGTGTGTGCTGTATGCGTCAATGGACTCTGTCATCTCTATTACTCGCATCATTACTTGCTAATATACGATACGTGTATATTATAGCTTGAAGACGATAAGACTTTCTGATTCTATTTCATTCCGTTGCGAGGGTCTGTCGTTCTCACCGTTTATCTTGGCGGGTTGTTGATTGATAGCACCTCCAGACACCTCCAGGTCATTTCATCAATAATCATTTCGCCGACACGACAATGATTTATGAATCCATCATAGTGTGAGAGGTTAGGAGGATTATCAAACCCATGGAATATAATAAAGACGCATTAATCTAGGAATAGTCGACTGTAGGTTACAACTTTGTTCATCGATTATAACTGTTCGCGAAACAATTGTCGGTGAGGCTGTCGGTGAAGTGATTCTGTCGGTGAAATATAACGTCTGTGAAATGATTGTTGGTGTTATGATACGGAACCATGTGCACGGAAACAAAACATAGAAACTCTGATACCGATTAGACAACATAACAAACATTATGTAAGACGATAAGAGGATTTCGAGTTTTATTATAAATCATGACTTCTGAAAAGCACGGTATTGGGGTGTGCCGGGCAATAAAATGGTCACAGATGCAAAACAATACCATCGTATTTTATTCCAGTTGGTAGCATCTTTTCCTGTTCAAATATTATAGCCGATGAAAAGAGCTTCATGCTTTCTATTACGACTGCTTAGAAGAAATTGAATTAAATGGTTGAATCTGCAGAAATATAATATGTATATTGCAAACTCGTAGAAAAGCAGTTACTTGAAGCTCGTCTCTTCTCGCTCCCAAACCTACCTTGATCACGTGCCGCATATGCAGAACCTGGGCAATTAATATTAATTAACGTTAATATTGATTAATAATAATAACTCGAATGACTTGACGAATCATAATCTCGCTTGGTGCCAAAAGGGGAAAAGATTTAAGGGTCGATCTGCGGTCGGCAAACTTATTGTGTTTTTAATAAATAATAATTTTATTACTCTTAATAATATAACAACAACACCACTGTTCCACGTGAAAAGTATTTTAAGACTTAGCAATTCTCTAACGCTTAGTCATAGTACCCGCATTCTTTATCGATAAAAAAATTTTTTTTCGCTTCTATTTTTACATTAAAATGAAGATTTAAGGAAACAGTTACATCACAGAAACGCAATGTAACATAATCTTTCATTTGAAAAGTGAATACGAAAATTGATTTGCTTGAAAACTTGCATATTTCTCATAAGGCGTCATTTGAACGTCACAGCATAGGCGGGTAAATTAATAGGATTACTTAAATCTCTTATACTTCATAAGCATAAGGAACTGTGCATCATACATTGCATCATTTAAAAAAAGAAGAAAAAAAAATTTTTTTTTTATACTGAAATGACGACTCTGTGCATATTACGAAGAACTCCGGTTGGCCGATAATGTAGCTTAAACGTAACATGCACCGTAGAGCACTGCATTGAATATAGTACTCTTCCCCTTAATTAAGACCCGGGTTTAATTCAAAAACTTGAGGCGTTCTAGTATGCAAAAAGCCGGAAAAGTAAAAGTTGTGGGCTTATTGGCAGAAAGAAATGGTGACTAAAAAAAGCGCCATTTTACGTTTTCAGTTTGGAAATCAGTTGACGATGCATGCCTTATCATTTGATTATCGCAGTGCAAAGATTTTTACGCAGAGAATTTCGTTAAACTATGAACACTCGTCGAGCAAGATGATTTCGATTGTCAGACGTCAATTCCATTAAAATTAAAATTTATTCCATTCACAAATTATGAAACTTTTCCTCTATTGCGTTGGCCCTGAAAAAAAAAGCCTGACTAACGATATCCCAATCTATGAACAAATTAATTACATTGTTTGTTCGATTAAGGATTTAGAGATAATGCTTTTTAATTTGTGATTAATATTCTTAACTTTATTTTTGTGGGCGTTTGATAAAAGTCAAAACGGACAGTTGAGGCTGTGTATAGTAGAAGTGAACCGCTCCGTTCTGAACCAGACTGTCATAATGGAATTATTATTCTACCCAAACTACTATTCTGTCAAAAATGGTAGTAGACTAGCATTTGTTGAATGGCTAGTTCAACCCCTGTCCGCTGCAATCCCCGCTTGACAAATATATCACGCATGAATGACATAACGATAATTTTAATTACTCGATATCACTACACTAAATTTGGTTAATGCCCCCGATTTTCTTGTTGAATCACGCTATGTTTGTGTGACAGTTTAAGATATCATATGAAATTTCGATTATTCACAGACATTATAGGCCAAATTCACTGTAGATAACTTCAACTATAATCAACTACAATATATCAAAGTCGCCTCGGAAAAATAATGTTGGAAAAATTTTGTCCGTGGAACACATGCCTGGTACTCTCGAAACGTACGCAGGTCAAGATATCGTTAGCTTGGGAATCGGAGAAATAAAGAATTTGCTCTTATGCTTCCGTAATCTCGTGATGATAATAATCTTTGTTAGTAATACTTAAATACTGCAAACAGAGTACTCTACTCATGTTGTGCTTGCCTTTGCGACCAATAGAAACTTAGTTATTTTTGTCATAATGCGCACGAATTAAAAGTGGGTGTTGACTCGTAAAATTTCTAGTTGGAGATGGATTAGTGAACAGTTTGTCAAAACTTTGAAGTTTTTTGTACTACTCGATTATCCTTTGAATACGCTAATGTACACATGGCTAACCAATATGACATGCTCTAGCCTCTTGTCCTATTGGGATCCATATCAATTGCACGCAAAATCAGCAATCCCACGAGATTGTCGTAAATGTCGAGTGGCTGAATTCAAGATTACGCCACGTTTAATATAGTTTCTAAATGACAGCTTGATGGTTTAGAGCTTTGAAGGTTTGCAATTAGGATTACCAGTTTTGGAGAACAGCAAGCGCAATTATTATTAACTGTTGAACTTTTTTTGATAGTGATAGTGAAATAACTGTAAATAAAAACTTTTACTAGAATGGCCAATTTTTATACAAATATGATAAATAATATGACGAGAAACACATATTATTAACTTTATAAACGTGTGTGCAAGCAATTATACTTTCTTCAGTTGATTCGCGCTTATCTCTATTAAAATTACACCAAATAGGAATGCCAAGGACATTGCACAACCACTCAAGGTTTACACTCAACCTGATGTTTCAAAGTCTCTACTCATGTTTCCTCGTACGTTGCTAATCGAGACTGCTATTGTCTTGCTCTGGCCTGTTATTGAGTTTTTCAAATCATCCCACTTCATACCGGCATCAATGAAATCCATATTTGACATCATTAATTGTCGGTACTAACCATGTTAAGTATGATATTGAACGTTTTTTATTGCATAATTTAAACAAATCTGCGAATTTGGTAAATTTGGTCAACTATTTCCATACAAAATTCCATTTATGATACTGATCTACATGCGATGTTTTGTTTATTACTTTATCAATAAGTTCGGGGAGAAGTTGTTCAATATTTCCGAAATCAATTGCTTTGTCGCGCGGTTACCAAATGGGTAATAATAATACCATTTAAACTAAAATCAACAGATCACTTATTATTATTCATGCATGCTGATCAGTTCAAGATTGCACAAGCCTTAAAAAGTGTGGCGTGGCAAATTATAAACATAACGCATATGTTGTCTTACAATTCGCAAAGCCGCCAAGTATAATAATAATTGCTAGTTGTGCTGAATAAACAAAGTTTACCATAGAAGCCAATCTCATTGGTTTGTGAATGAATGCGTTCGGGCTGTCAAATTCTTACTGTTACAGTATATGATGTGATGATGATGATGATGATGATGATGATGATGATGATGATGATGATGATGGTATTTTGTCACAAATAAAACTACTGAATTTCTCCATTTAGCTAGAGAAAGAAATTAATTCGAACCCACACTATTGCAGTAATTAACGTAATTCCGGTATTAACAAGTTTTTAGCAGGTCAAGGTTGTTAACGTCAGCCATAGTCATAGCAGATCCCTGTGACAAGGACCATTTTATGACCCGTATCTTGTAACACGCCCAGTAATAGCAATAAGCATAAATTAGTAAAAAAATTTTCCTCCAAGAATACAATTAGTTAGCCCACAAGTGTTGTTTGCAAATAGGGGGCAACTTATTGGTTACAGTAACACCAAAAAGATACGGTATTGTTAGTCTCCACCTCATCCTCTCCTTCACTCCACACCACCTCCCTTAACAATAATGATAATAATAGCAGTTGTCGCAACAACGACAGAGTCCCTAATATTTGTTTGTACATTTTTTGTTTGTACATTTTGTTTGTCTGATTAGGAAAGTCTTAAACTCGGGTCCGGTCCCGATATCTGTCCTTTCCGCTTGCTTCCTGTCTGTTATGTTTCATCTATTTATTTGTCATTACTCTTAAATTATTCCCTTTGTTTAAATCAATTGTACTGAATATCGTTAATGGATGTCAAATCTTTAGACGGGGCTCCACCTATCGTTTGTGAGAAATCTAACGAGCGTTACAGTTATTGTAACGTTGTATTTTGCTTGGTTAAACAATATGGTAAATTTGAGCTGACATGCGTCGTATTTTAGTTCACTGTGGCAAAATAGGAAACCCGTTATGGATGAGGTAATAAACATTTCACTTTTGCTTGTTGTGCAAATGGAAACGTGTTATTCTCTATCTTGCCTGATCTATATTTATTGGTTGCGAAACATGCCGTACAAACATTTAATTAATGTCGAGGAACAAACAAGTCGGGTCATTTAAATTTCTCTCACGAGCTTTTATTCAACTTACAAAGCTTTAATAAAATCATTCATAGCAATTTATGTTACATGAATATGTCAAAACTTTTTTTATAATAAACGGGAGAAAAAAAGTCATGTCAAAAAAAAGTAAAGACAAAAATCAAATAATAATAAGTAAACTTAGATGTTTTTCACTTAATATCAAAATTTAAAAAATAACACAAGTAAGTATACATAAAATTTACTACTGCTTACTGTGACTTAATGCAATCTTTCTTTTTCAAGGGGGCGGCGTGGACGATATTACAATGGTAGTGGGGAGGGCAGGGATTACTGTGAACTATAAAAAAAGTTTTTAATGAATGAAATAACAGTCACGTTGTGCACATTTGTAATCGCCACGATACATGCTCTACAAAAGATTTTCCCCTACTCCAACATTTTAATGGTGAATTCATCCACGCCGCCCACTCTTTTAATTCGTTATTATGACAAGAACATACCTCAACGTTACCTAATCTAGGAAACTTTGCGCAGAGCAACGGCGATATCACATTACCATTAATGTCACATCCTTTCAGCGTTAATCGCTCAAGATTATAACATGCTGCTATATTACTTAACGGTTTTGTGGCCGTAAAGTTTACATCATGAAAGTCTATCTCTTTTAACGACTCTGCCTGTGTCTGGATTGCTTCTAACACATATTCTATGTTTATTCCGTAGTGCCTAAACGTCCAAAATTGTATTCGCGCTAAAGACTTCTGAGCCTTAATGAGTTCGGATAAACCGAGCATTTCCGCTTTACCGTTGTCTTCCGGAGAACCCCAATTGGCCAGAGTTAGATGCATTGAACGTATATTACGGCATATTTTGGCTAGTGACGATAAAAAGACAGACTTTTGGTAGCAAGCCGCTATTTCGAGTTCTCTTACGGAGGTAAGAAGTGAGTGTAATTCCGGTTTTAAAAGTAGTAAATACTCATTACTGTCCAGTTGATCTTCCCACGTAAGAACTCTTAGGTGATAGAGTTTTACGCCCAAACGAATGAACATTTTGAAAAGTTCATTTGACATTGCATGGCGTAAATTGTCATTATGTGCTTCTCTTTCTCTGTCTCTGACCCCATTTAACGTTTTCGACTTGTTATCTCTGGTCGTTGTCGTCGTTGCTCTTGTAATGTATGCCTTGACTGATTTCATAAACGGCCAGTAATCAAGATCTCTCAAATACAGCGGATAATTATAATGTAGTTTATGCATGGCTGATGGAAGAGGAATATCTTGCACTCGCGTAATGGCATTGCGCTCCGACGGTGAAAGTGAATGGAGAAGTGTGTGTATGAGTAAAGGTGACGTATGACGGAAGGGTTTTGACCAGTAGACGGGAACTGCGTTCGAACACCAGTGACGATTGACTAGCATACAAGAATGAAGTGTCGAAAGGGCTACGGAAGAATCCTCTGCCGAGAGGTTAATGAAAATGTCACGCAGAATTAGGTGAGGAATAAATGGGGACATGATGAGAGAAAAGAGGTAGTATGGTGAATGTACGTAAAGTAGAGGGAGTGGGGATTTCCGTGGGTTGTTGGAGAGAGTTTTTTCAACCTATTGGGAAAGATACGAGAGTTTTTTCGAAACACGTTTATTATATATTAATTTTTTTGTGTACCACAGGGCATACACGTGATGTATTTGTGCTAACCGTCCATTTAACTATAGTTGTCAAATTTGTGAACCAAATTCATGGACCATTACTGATTGTATGGGTGAGAAATAATTGTTATCTTTTTGACTCGAAAGGAAAATAAATGACATAAGTGTTGACGTGTGTCACACTAGAGATAACGCTAAGGATGTGTGTAATAATGGCGCGGCATTGCATCAATGGCAAACAAAGGAATAGATAAACTTATTGTTTAATATTGATTCTCACGTAATAATTTTTGTTTATAATTGGTAAGTCTAAATGTCTACGCTAAAAACGTGATTTTCCCCATATATAAAAAAGGGTTCAAGTCTAGCAGATATAGTTAGCACAGACCGTCTCAATTAACATGCGGGATATATGTTGCTCCCATCTGAGTTTAGAACTTGTCTCAGTTCAGAACCTAGTCACTCAATTGTCTCGCTCATGGCGTATGACCATCTAGTAAGATACATTCCGTGTGCTTGTCTCGTTGTGTTATCACCCATCCTTGAAAACAGCAAATGTTACACATTGGGATTTTTCTACTCCTTATAATCCTCACACCAGCATCAATGAAAGTTTAGTAAGGTAATCACAATATACTATTACAGGAGTGTTGAATAAAGCGATAATGGGTCGTCGATGATGGGCATCTTTTATGCGAAAAAATAAAAACTAACGTGAATAGGTTTAGCTACATACAGCACGGGCTATCATCAACTCTTATTCACAAAGCAGGGATAATAATCAATTTTTTTCGAGGACAAAAGAGGAGCAATGCGAGTACACAAACACTTTACGATCTCAATCTCTAATTATTTGTGTACCCATTTGCAAAACATAATAATTAACTGGGTGCATTTGTGTTGTAAACAAAAGCTGTGATGGTACATTGAGAAAACAATCGACTTTTAATTTTGTATTTGTAGAATGTAATCTCTTCGTTCGACGTGCTAATTATTGTGTCATAATTGTTATGCTTTTAACTAATTGCGTAAATCAAGTTGCAATTATTAAGACGCAACTGATATACGAGACATGCGACTAACTTGAGGATATCAGTTTTAATAACGGTTTGTCCGAGAGAACTGTATACATTTAATAGAGCACGCATACACACGAATAATAAGCTGAGTGCAAGTTGATGTGTCGTGTGTGTGTAATCAAGCTTTTATTAAAATAAGACTTTATGTCAGTATTTCAACATATTTTACTAAATAACGTTTTAGATAAACTTGCGCCTCAACCGGGAATCAATGTTTGAAAGTACCGGGCCCAGGTCCTAGCGCATTGTTAAATGCAAACAAAGGCCAAGTTTGTTCAAGCCACAGTGCAAAAGCACAAAGATTCTTCTTTTCGAGATTAGTCATTGGTGTAGGCTGGTTACTATATCGAGGTGGTGGGTAAGGGATATATTGTCACACAAACAAAAAATGCCTGTCGGTTCAAGAGATTATCAAATTTAATGGTTAACAGCGTATGAAACCCCCACGAGAAAGTAAAAGAGGCGGCTTATCGAGGGCATGCATTCTATAATACTGCACTTTTTTATAATACTCTCGTCTTGTCAAATGATACATCCTATGTACTGTACAAGAGTCGGCGGAGATATGACGACGAAAATGATTTTCTGATATATTGTATTTATGATATTGTTATCGATTGTCACTAATTGTCTGTTTTAGCTTTTTCTTGCCTGCATTTGTTATCAATCTATCAGTTTGTGTAATATCACAATTTAAGATTTTGCCCCATTTGCGTCCATTATACAATAATTCTTGTATGGGACGATCACCGTATTCTTTGTTCTTTAATAATAATGCGCTATACAAATAAACTTTTTCTGAGCCCCCTAGCACACAAATACATATTGTATAAACAAACAGGCCTTGTTAACATTTAATGTCTGTTGAGTAGGACAAATTCTTAAATTTGGTCTTGCATCTTATTACAAATCAGAAAATAGCGCATAGACAATATACATGGAATGTTCGCAAGTTCTTACTCAGTATGGCGACTGCACAATATTCACTTTCTTTGCTTAATGTCATCATTTACTCTAACGCTTTTGTACAAGAAAGTTTCTTCCTGGCTAGCATTATGGTGGGTGGTTTTTTTTTCGAAAGAGAATTGATTGCATGTCAAAAGTTTTGGGCTTTTAAATTTTTTGCATATTTTACTATTGTCAGTAGATATACTGTAAATGATCGTAATTCTGGTTGATCTGTATAATTTCCTGTAATGGAAACAATTTCTATGCCTTAATAGTAAAATTAGATTTTGAAAAACAAAAGTTCAGAAAAATTTGCCGATCATTGACAAGATTAGGAAACACGGCCATCTGGATATCATTGAAGTTTCTGTATCGAAAACGGTATAACTTCGAATAAATTGCTGGTTTACAAAGGTAGTTAAACTTATTATCTCTTGCTTTGAACCTCGTCGTTTACATTAAGCGATTAGTATTTGTACTATATATAGTTTAAGTATTTTAAACTCTGCTGTGTATAAGGCTATCACCCCATTCTTTATGCAGCTGGAAAATTTTCCGGCTATTATTGGTCATAACTCAAAATTATAATATTAATATATATTTGAAAATACAACACAAATAACCATGATAATAATCCGGTGAAAGCGGTAGATGACGGAATAACGCGGTAAAAAGCGACAAATGTACGGGGGAAAGCGGCGGATAAATGCTCGATCATCTGTACTGTGATACACCACATGAAGCAACAATTATTTATCGTATTAGAAAGTAAGAAATAAAATATCGGTTCCAAGAATCATTCGAACAATATAAGCCACACTCGCAGTTTCTTTGTTGACGACAATGTCAGATGATAATGACGATCTGTCTCACGTTAGTCTTTCTAAGTTTGACTCGGATTTGTAATATTTTGTAATTGTTGGACAAGCGTATAACAAAGTATTGGTGAGATGCTTCAAATATTTACATGCCATAAAATAAACAAGATTTGTATTTTTTGGAATTGCAATGCAACGTCTATGACAGCAATACTATTGTATATTTGCAAATTAATGTTAATCTGTACGTGCAAAACTTGCGGTCTGTATAACATTGGACAAGTTATGAGGTGTTGCATTTGTGGTATGTTTCATAGTCGATTGGATTTTATCATTGTAAATGATTATGGCGTTCCTGTTCTCTTGTTTTAAATAACAGTTGGGGACGTCTGTGTATCATGCCACCGAGTTTATCGTATGTACCTACGGAATATTCCACAGTATAATTAACCGATTAAAATGTCATGCCTCGTGCATATTTAACAGGTCAACGTGACTGGCTCTAATGGTTTGAATATATTCAGTCATCCGGTTTCCGCATTCTTGCTTGCCTTCAAAGGGACTATGCATAAACATGTTTGACGGCGTCCTCCGACACAACACCCCTCATACTAACTGTCAGATAAGCATTGAGTTACACATTAGTCATGCGTGACAAAGCTCGTTATATCATTGGATACAACATGTTAAAGTTTGTTTATTGTTGCTAATAGCTTATTCGCATGGGGTACACAAGCTGGTTTTACTTCCCCACGCAAGGATTGTTGTGAAATTCTTCCAGAGTCGTGAGGGGTAAATAAAAAAAATCTTACCGCATTGTGTCAGATTGGAATCATGTCTCTTCCATACATATTTCAGATAGAAATTATACTCATCTTTCTTCTTCCTCGCTTCACAAGTTTATACTTTGTCTTTGTTCATAAACAAGCACTATTATTTTGGCTGTACAAGAAGACCATTTTGTTTCATAGATTGTCTTGTTTATGTCGCAATCATCGTCATTATTAAAGTTCATTGCATTGCATACAATATCTTGTACGATACAATAAGTACAATTGAATGTGAATAAATGAAAATTTTTTGTTCGGCTCGGAATTCGTTACGGAATCTAACAGTACAACGCGAATGATACATATAGAGCATATCGGCCTTATCATGTATCAAAGTTTGTTATCGCAACACTCATGTCAGTGTAACACATATTCATTTCTTGTGTTCAATACAAATGGAGTAACATTCAATGCGCCATTTATGTTACCGCGGCATTTAAGCTAGTAGTCATTTCCCTGCTTGCTCCCCGAATACCATAGTTGTACATAACACATCTAATTTGTGGCCGATAATTTATCGTACCCGAGTCAGGGGTATCTTTGTCATTCTTGTATTCTTTAGTATTGCCAGAATATAGCAATGTATTGTTTGTGGGGGTGTGATATCTGTCGCATTAATGCTTCAGCTTTTGATTCTTTGGCCAAGATTATTCGTTGTGAAGCATTTCAAGCTCTTTCTACATTCGAGCAAACCATTTTTAATAATTTAACAACCGAACTGAAAACAATAAATGGTGAGAATATAATTAACTGCCAGCTGACGTCTTAAAATAATACGCATACTATTGAGATTGCAATATGCCCTATATTTGCGCACTCACTTTTAAAACATTAGAAATTACCTGATAACGAATGGGGTAATACTACGTATTCATGGTAACATTAAGACACGATAGACGTTGCTCCCGTTGTGAAGAATTTTCTGGAAAACTGCTGATTACCAAGTCTCAAGACCCGAATTCTGTGCTACGTGCCACATTTTGAGAATGGTTTGCGCTATAACGCTAGTAAGGAAGAAGAAGCAAAGGACATGTGGCTAAGGCTGAATTGGAGACAAATTTTACAACAAAAAAAAACTCAAATTTAGCAGAATAACGCCGGAAATTGGTAGACGAGCTGATTATTGTAGTATAGACGCTACTGGTCATTTCAGTTATGATTGGGTATGAGTGCAAATATTCACATCCTGC